TGGCTCTGTGATCTGTGGGGTTACGTGGTGGACAAGGTCTGTGTTGTCCAACCTCCAACCCTCCTCACCGATGAGCACGGTTGAACATGGCCGAATAAAATTCGTGACCTGCTCGGCACGAGGCGGGGGGGGGGAGGAGGCCTTCATCCAGCAGTGGATTAACAGCTGCTGATGTTGGTGATTAATAATTCTGGAACTCAGCAGTTTACATTGTCTTTAAGAATCAAGCGCATACATGCAGTGGTTCTATTCATGGCTTTGTAGGTGTGCTGGTTCGCAGAAACAGCTCTTGGCTGGGAGGCGCCTGCCCTTGGGAGGGCATGATGACATTGTTGCATCAGGCGAGATTGAAACCTGTATCTCACTCGGACACACCAATTAAGCATGTTTAGGGCTCGTGAAGCGAGTTCACAATGCCCTATGTCCGATTGTAAAGTCTGTGTTCCACAAACAAACCAAACGCTGCCCACAACACAGCGGCACATGGTCAGAGGCTGTTGAAATTGTCCAAATACGCATGTTTACTGCAAAGGCACTTAAGGATTGGAAGCGATAAAAAAAAATGTTTTAACTGTAACGATTGTCTTATTCCACTTCTCTATTCTGAATGAGTGAACTCAAAGTGGTAGTGTTCGTACACACTGCGTGTACGGAAAACCTTATCCTCTAATGTATTGAGAGTGACTGGGGGCGCATCTATTTATCGATTAACACCAATTATTTTATTGTAACAAAATGCGAGCCCGGTACAATATGCCGATGAGCTTTGGAGGGGTGGGGAACAGAAAATCCGTGACAATTCACACCGATTCTTAAGTTCATGACACGTGCATCGAATATAAAATCGTGATGTAAACGTAATAGGGTCACGTGGACCCGCTGCCGCCACTCGTACGCGCAATCGGGGATCGAACCGTGACCCCGAATCTCGCGACGACCCCCAGCGTCACGAATTGTCGCACACGAGGGGACTAGATTTTTTTAAGTCGCCCAAAAGTTACACCACATTCCGACGCTATACAGTTCAATGATGTCACAGTTCCACAAAGAGAGTGTTGCCAAATTTAACAGCTCTTCGTGATATCATCTTGTCCTCAAACATACACCATGTTCTACAATTAACCGACCTCTTGCGTACGTGGACGTCCGTGCGTTTGCTGTCGCCGTATCGTATAGAGCAGGGGAGTGGTGGTGCAGTGCTTGGCGATCTGCGATTTGAACCCGGCAACCCGGGTTCGGCTCCTAAAACTGCGCTCGGTTGTTTAAAAATAAGTCTGTGTGCACTGCCCCCCACCCTGAACGACTTTACCTGGAAAGATTTACACACACCACACCTGACTGCTTTCACATTAATCTTTTCTTCCATTTTACCATTAATAAAAAAAATCATCACTTGTGTGCGTGCGTGTGCGTGTAAAGTCAAGTCAGTTTTGTTTTTGTTGACATGCAGCAGTGGCGACTTTCTGACACAAATCTACCACGCAAAGTCCCGTCACGTAAAACTCAAACTCAACATGAAAATTTGAAAGATCCTAAGCCATGAGAAGATATATTTACAAACTATATTTACAAACTACCTAGAGTTGTATCTATGGCAGCAGTCACGCAGTGGTTAGCGCGGTACGCAATGAACCCAGTGACCTCAGGTTTGGTTCCCGGCCATGGCTAAAATCGGTCGGCGGAGTGATATCTGAACCTGGTCTGGGCCTCCCCAAGGTTCACTCGGTTTAAAATGAGTGCTGTACCTATATAACACGCTTTCGCGACCGTTATTATCCACAATAAAGGTTTTTCGGTTAGATCGCGTAAATATATAAATGCGCCGTTATACCCGCCACCAACCGACAGCCAATCAGTAAGGTTTGTCACGTAGTCAGAACGTGCCAATTCGTTACTAGTACAGCACATCGGCGTGTGTTGGAGAGTTAAATTGTAGATGTTGTGGGTTTACTCAAGAAACAAATGTTCTGGGTGTAATGCTGGCGACCCTTTTCCATACCAGCCTTAATAGCTGCTCACTAGCATCACTTGCCCTGACATTGCTGAATATGAGACGTCAGTAATTTGATGGTGGGTCTTCAAGCTAATTCAATCAGACTGACAATTCATCGACATAGGAGACATGGTATGGGTATCATGTTTGTTTAAAATCATCAGAATTTCACAGCCACCTGCCTACCTGTCGTAGAATGCACAGAAATGATAAAATCTCAAACTACTATACAGTGTAACCTCATGACCGTAAAAACTTCCAATTTCGATTTGCACGGTCGACTACGTACGGTGCGAAAAATAGTTCCACATACTTACATACAAGCTCCCAGCACGTGGAGCGGAACGTCGGACATTGGACAATGTGCCGAACGCGTGACTCAACCCCGACATCGGAGAGCCGTACAACACAGCCACGACAACTTTTGCAGTGGTCGGTATTTGCTAAATGTGGGGGATCATCAGCCATGGTCAATGCACCTTCCGGAATGAAGTCTTTCCACGATCCTGCAATGTAATAATCCACCGTGCACCAACACACAAGCTGATATCATTGCTCCGTCTCTTCTTCAGGTGAACATCTTCCGTCACTTTGGCTGCCATCCCGTCATTATCCATGTGCCCGTCATACTTCCTTGTAACGACGAGTACTGCCCAAGGTCACTCGTTTAAAAAAAAACAACTATATTTTAGATAATTAGTTCAAATGGAAGCTTTCAGGACGTGGAGCGAAACTTCGGACACCGTGCCGAACAACGCGCGGCAGAACCGGAAAACGCGTTGGAAATCGTGGCAGCCCTCGCATTGCCAAACGTTGGCACGGAGCACTGCGTTAGAGCGGCCGGAATGGGCAAACCCAGTTCGGTAGGACAAATGCCATCTGGCAACCACCACCGCGACGGGAAAATCTCCTGCCTCCCGCACTGTGACAGTTGGCCAATACAGCGCCGTTTATTACGGTAACAGCGCCCGCAATGCCAGCTATTACATCAGCAAGCCACCTGCAGTTGTACCGAGCACAGCGTTGCATCTGTCACCTTGGGCAATGAGTCACACTTTTTTTTCTACATTCAAGATAAATTGACCGCAAGTGGCTTATTTTTATTATCGTTAATAACACAATGTCGACGACGATGATGTCAACAACAACAAATCTGGTCTCGCCGGTCAAAGTCGAAGTGATTTTCTGTTCATTTCCACCGCCCTGAGGCGGCGGTGGAAATTACACATTTCTATGACGGTGAATCTCCCCGCAGGACAAACCACCGTTATGGTACTCATCGTATTGTGACCCCCAGAGGGAACGATGGGTTGGGTCAGCCCTCCGACCAGGAGTTGAACTCTCATATTTCTGACTGTCGGGCGCTCGCTCCACCGCTGAGCCACCTGGCCAGTCTCTCACGAGTGCCGTGCGTTTAAAAACATTTTTTACGGTTTGTTTAGTGATCATTTTGTAGTTTTCACAGATAATGTTTAGGGACACTCAGGTGTCTGTTTATGCTGTGTTTATTATAATTTTTTGTTAATTTTTATTTTGATTTAAAGCTTTCGTGACTGCAGTAATTCATATTCTTAGTTTTTTCGGTAAAGTCACGTTGAAGAGAAACAACAAAATAATAAAATATATATAAAACAATAAAAAATTCTCACGACGTTTCGACCATAACTCAAACGGTCATCTCCAGGTGTGTTGGTTTGCATAAATTTATTTGTAAACGGCGCATTTATTTATTTATAAAAAAAACCGTTAGCGTCACGCGCAGCGATTTGGCAGTTTACCCAGGACTAGTCCATCTATATTTTGAAAAGAGGAGGGGGGAGACGAATTTTTTTATAAATAAATAAATGCGCCGTTTAAAAATAAATTTATGCAAACCAACACACCTGAAGATGACCGTTTGAGTTATGGTCGAAACGTCGTGAGAATTTTTTATTGTTATATATATATTATTATTTTGTTGTTTCTCTTCAACGTGACTTTACCGAAAAAACTAAGAATATTAATTTTCATTGTTTAAAAAAAAATGTTCCATCCACCGAAAACGATTTTTTTCTTTTCTGATTATGTTGCTTGGAAAACAATTCGCCGTGCACACCTTATGCACTTTGGCCTCGAATTAGTAATGCAGGTCACGTGGGACAATCGCAGCGAAGTCGTTCTTGAATGAGTGGTTCTCAAACTTTTAGGGATGGGCGCGTGCGGCTCCTCAATCAGACCCACTGGTCTCCCGCGCCCCCAGGTTACACAGAGAGATCACATGTCAATGCGGTGTTGGTAAGGAATGTGTTTCATGTTGTGCACTGGTGTGTTGACAAGGCACGTTTGATTTTGTATTTCGTTGCATTTTGTGTTGGTCAGGCATGTGCTTCCTTTTGTGCATCAGTGCGTGTTGCGCAAGACATGTGTTTCGCGTTGATTAGTGTGTTTTATAGACACAACGTGACATTGACGTTGCTTTTTTCTCTGCACAGTATCCATGCCATAGCCTGTCCACCCCCCCCCCCCCCCCCATTCAAAAGCCTTTTGCATTTTCTAGATATATACAGGGTTATGGAAGCAAAGGGTTTGAGTTGAGGAGTAAGAGATGGTGTGGCCGGGGAAAGGCAGCGCTGTGAAGCCAGTCATATCTGAGTTCGATCCCCTGCCATCGCTAACATGGGTTGTGAGTGATATTTGAATCAGGGCCCCGTGCATCCCAGACTCTTCAGCACGGTGGTGTATAATCAAATGGGGACCCTTGAATGATGCGGCATCCAACAGTGGATTGGCTACGGGATGTCAAAAGTTATTGCTGTCATTCCGTTATCATTGTGACAACTGGGCTCTCCCCGTCCGCTCCGTGTCTCCTGCGAGTCGCCCGCTTGCACTGTTCCCTCTGCCAGTGGCAGAGTGTGGGAGTGAGAGAAGTGATGCGGCCATTGTGCCCTGCAGGGCCGCCTGAGCAAATCGATGAGTGCATCGTGTCTCACGTTTCCACATCCTTCCTCTCTTCCTCCTCCTCCTCCAGGGGTCCCAGCCTCCGGGAGACAGTGCAGCTGGGAGGCTGAAGGTGTAACGATTCACACCAAAGGTACGAACGACGTCTTCCTGTCTTCATCGGTCTGGAAAGCCAATAGGCTGTGGACTAAATATATTTTATTTTTGTATGCGGGTTTTTGGAACGGAGGAGGTCTGCTTATACGCGTGTGTGTGTGTACCCACAATGCTCAATAACAACAACGCATCACGAGTTTGTGTACAATATTGGGTTCTTCTTTTTACGGGACCCCACATTTTAGATGGGCGTGCTCTTGCCGATAACATCTAGTCGGCGGCATTTGTTTAACAAGCCTGACTGCTGATGTGACCCAGAAGGTGGAAACCAGTCCAGAGTTTGCTTTCCTCGCTTGCCTAAACGGATCTTGCTGACGTTAGCGATGGCCGGGCATGGAACCCAGGTTGCCAGGTTCATCACGCAGTGCACGGACTACACTGTTACTGCTCCCGACCTGCCTGTAACATCTCAACATGTGCTGTTTTGTACACAACGGCGTGTTTGTTTTAGCCCGCGTTTACTTTTTTCCAGACGATAGGGTTTTATTTATCATTGACGACTGTGTGAGCGTGATTAATGCTGTTGCTGGGATGTTTGAGAATATCGAGAGGAAGGGCTCGTGGAGGACTATAGATATACGTCAACAAACTGCTGCATGTTTATTGACTGGAACATAGCTCAGTCGGTAGAGAAGCCTGGCTCCTAATTGTTAGCCATGAGTTACAATTCAGACTGTGGTCAGTTGAATGCAATATCATCATCATCATCATCTATCCTGGGTGGTTAAAATCAGGACAAAACTGGTCTTTGGCACATAAATGTGAAATTTCGGCGATAGGGTTCCGGACCATGATCCAACGTTGCAAACTCTCTCCTGAAGCCCCGTCGTGGCTAGCAGAGCTCGACATTGGAATCGAGCACCATGCACGCACAGCCACCGTCCACAAGAACAGAACGGGACCACGATAATGGTGGATGAAAACAAACGCGCCTTTTGAGTAAATGACGACTTGAAAAATAGTGTAATCACGCCGTCCGTGAATAGGTGTGCCTGGGAAGCAGCGCATAACAAACCGATCACTTCTCTCCACGGGTTTTTTTTTGCCCGCTCTCCAGCAGGTCAGCTCGTGCTGTCTCCAAAACAAGCGTGGTGTTTTTGTAAGGGGGGGGGGGGGCGGCATTTTCTGTGCATTTTTTTAGGTGCATCGATCGTCACGTGTGCTGCTTTTAGTCCTTGAGCTTTAAGGAGAAAAACGAATGCCCGCGAGGAGTTAAGTAGAAGCGGAGTAGTCGGAGGATGATAACAAATAATTAGTTCTATTATTATTATTTGCGACGTGGTTTATTTTTAAACGATGCTTCCCAAACGCACAGCAATTAAACAAACGGCATTGGCTGATGTAGCAGGTGGCATGGTTTGGGTTCTTATCAGTAAATAGGTGTCCTTGTTGTTTGTGCAGCAGCCGCCCGCTTTTAAAAACAACTTCTGCCCCTAAATGAGGAAACGCGAGTCGACCTTGCGATAAAAAAATGGAAATAAGTAAATAACCCAGCGGTTTATGTGCCGCACGCACGTGCTAAACAACCCCAATCAATGGGCCGGAGTACAGCGACCGCACAGTTTTAACGTGCGCCCGTTTACAGGTCCACAAAAAATATACTTTTAGCATAAAACATAAATATGTAGACGTTTTATTCTCTTCATTAGTAAAAATAAATCCAGCAAACATCCTGCAATGTTCTAAGCTGTTGTTGTTGCTGTTGTTGTTGTGGTCAGCTTTTCACTTCCCACCGCTGGTCAAAGGCCTCGCCCATTCTTCTTCCGTTGTTTCATTTCCTTCGCTTGCTGCTGTCCAGCAGTGGCCTCCGAATTCTGTGATGTACGTACACACGCACCACGTTGAACTTCTTTCGTACCGTACGTAGCCAACCGCGCTAATTGTAGGTGCGTACTGGGGAAGGACAACAAACCGAGCACAAAGCATTTCTAAAGAAATGAGTTTACGTTTACATGATTTAAAAGTGCATAGCTCCAGTGTCTTCCGAATATCGGAAGGGAAGAGCGTTCCAGACCGCCACAGGAGCGCATCTGAAAGCGCGCCAAAAGGCTAACCATCGATGGTCCGTGACGCTTAGCCTTTTGGCTAACCATCGCTAACTATCGTGATCCCATCTCGCAATCTCTTCAGCTGCCTCTGCTTCTTTCGCCTTCTCCCAGTGTTCACGAGAGCCTCGAGCAAATTATGGATTTAATTACGCCGCCTCTTTTATTCTCTTTAACCTTTTCCAAAGTGCTTCCTTGGAGAGATGCCAGTTTCCTCAAGCAGATGCACGATTTGTGGGTTCTATTTTTGTTGTTGTTTGCCTCTCAAATCGAAAATCACCAGGAGGGGAGGGCTGCGGGCCTGGCGCGAGAACGATTCACGTGCGGAAGTCTCGTGCGGACGTCCCGATGCGCACCATCGTTTGCCTTTGGCTTGCTGACAAGGGCTTAGTTTCTCGCGACAGTCGCTACCATTGGTGGGTGTGCGGTTCGGAAAATACGGTCCCCGGCAACGAACCACTTAAACAGAAAAAAAAACTGAAAAGGTAACTGCAAAAGAAGCAGAGATGCGAGAAATAAATGTCCAGGTGAGGGGATGGGCGAGTGAAGTTGGTTGTTTACGCTCGACAGGCCCATCTCCTCTGCAACGCGAGCGCTGTCCGGGCGGTTATCGGCTGTTGTTGACGTGTCGCTTATTTTCTGTGTTGTTCTTTTTGGCATGAGAGAGAGAGAGAAAAAAAGAATGCGTTCACTGTACTGGTATCCACCACAAAGGCACTTGGGCTATCATCCATTTCCTTCTTGTAAATGCGACCAAAGTAACTTAAAACGCAAATACTCTGCTGGGCATTCCCCCCCCCCCACCCTCGTCGAGTGTGGGAATTAGCCAGCAGCAGAGAGACGACGGCGAGGGGTGGATAATAATGACTGTAAACAGACTGGCTCGCTCACCCCTCTTCTCGATCTTTCAAGCACACAATGCAGTTCATAATCCCCGGTGTTGTGTCCGACTGGAGCTGGTAATTGTTGTCGGGTTAAAGCAAAGGAAAAAAGTTTGTTGAAATGGTTATTAGATATGAGCTACACCCAGCTGTTTAAAAATAAGTCTACGTGCACTCCCCACGTCCCCCCCCCCACCACCCTGAATGACTTACCTTGCGTGATCTGCGTGGAACACGTCCGACCGCTTTTAAATTCGCTCTCTTTGCAATAGTTTACCCTTAATACCATTCATCACTCGCACGCGTTCGCGGGAGTGGTGGCGCGCGGCGCTCCCTACAAACTCGGCGGCCTCAGGTTCGATTCCCGCTCCCGGTCAACCTCGGTGGCGAATAATATTAACTGGTCCTGGGCTTCCCCCAGGTCGACTTGGCCTCGCCACTCGGGAGACAAAGGCGGCCGGGCGTGGTTGCTGGCCACCCACCCCCTCGTGTGACGTGCAGGCCTTCCATCAGGTAGTCGCTAACGGCACTTGCCCCGACAATCGTTTGAGGCTATGCGGGGGATCTTTGTCCTCGGTGTTGGTACCTAAGCACTCTCACTCACCTTGGGTTTAACTCGTGACCCCGATGCACTATGGCGACAGCAAGCTGGCATCTACGGTCAACACGGTCTGGGCTACTGCCCAGTTCAACTCGGCCCGTTCCTCCGCGTCAATGGTGGGATTCGTGCTACAAGCGTTGACCATTGGGAGAACGAAGGCGGACAGCTGTGGTACCCGGCTGGCCAACAGCGCGCCCTTAACGGGCTCTCGCTAACCTGGCAGGTGCTTGTCAACAACAATTTCCCACCCAGTTGTGTGCACTGCTAAAAGGAGACCTCTGTGTTTGTTTGCACTGCAAGTCAAGTTCGATGACTGGTTCAGCCCGGCCGCAACAAGACCGGGCGGCGGCGTGCAAAGTTACGACCTGTGGACAGAAGGCCTGATTAGATTTTGAAGCAAATGCTTCCTTGGGGTTATTGTGCTTATTTATAGATAATGCTGCTTGTAGTGCATTACCTTACAGCCCTTTGTCAGTCCATAACTGAATAATGGCCCCCTCCCCATGCCATGCCAGTCATGGGGGGCGGGGTTGGCCAGTTATCACAATATCATCATCATCATCACCACACACCACCACCACATCATCACAATCTTTGGGCTGATAGCCCGTTGGTGTCCACTGCACATGTCCACATTTGTTTCCACTTTCTTCTGTCTCGTGCCAATGTGCTCAAACAGTGGCCACATCTTTCTGGCACCAATCCCTTGTGATGTCATCGTCAAGCGCATTCTCTCTTAGGTCTTCCTCTTTTTTTCGTTTACTTGCGTTATACCGAAACAACGCCGCTTTTAATTTACCTGTTGTTGCCCGTCCCACGTGTGTGTCAGAATAGTGCCAGTTTCCTTCTCATCACTGCCTGTGTCCAATTTAGATGCGGTACCCTTCCGTAACGATACATTTCGAATGCCAAGTTATCAGACTCGCCGACGTTAAACCCCGCTGAAAGCTCCGTGCCACCGCTCAACGACGCGACTCCCGATTGCAACGCCGCGCAGCACTGTACTGTTGTAATAAAAGCCATTGCGCCGATGGTACAATTGCCATCGACGGCGGCAGTGTTCTCTCTGCAGGGTTCATGTCTCGTGTTTGTTAACGGCGACCAGGGGCGGCGAGGGGCTGTGGCTCGGCGCGATGTCGGCGAGGGAAGGGTCGAGTGTTCGCTATCGCGATGGCATTTTCTTAAAAAAAATCGCCGTGGCCGAGTAACTTTTCGCGGGAGTTTTTCCACGCCATCGCCAATTGTGAGCCGCAAACCGTTTTGCCAGATCTGCTGCAGTAGCCAAGGAAGCAGTGTTTTGTTTACCGAAAGAAAAAAAACAGCTTAAATTCATAAACAGGAAACACATTTTTTTTCACAATTGACAGGAAACCGTGCTTGCAACTATTTTCTACCGTCGCATCCATCAGCAGGTTTTGTTTACCGACATTCCAAATCATCTTCAACTGTA